CCCCAAAACCCCAAAACCCCAAAACCCCAAAACCCCAAAACCCCAAAACCCCATTTAGCAAATAAACACTATTTCATTAAGTTTGGAAACATGTTAAATATTCGTAAATGTAAAGCTAAATAATAAATTTAATTTGATGTAATTTCTCTCACTTGTAAATTCTTGCTATGGTTTAATCCTTATGTCTATCAACTGCTTTGAATTCACTATATTTGAGAGTTTCTTCCATATTTGTACCTATAAACTTGATGCTAGTTTTTATTATTAAAATCGTTATCTGATCAATCTTCTGTTGGAACTATATTTCTAGATTTAATAGTCTTAGGGAATCTTTTGCGGATGCATTTGAATTGCATTAACTCCTTCTTTATAGATTTGTAGAGGATTAAGTTTGATATAACTAGAAGTAATATCAAAGTAATCACCGATGAAGCCTCTGTCTATACTACAAAGTCTACTATTGATGTCATATTCACAAAGGCTATTGTGCTAATCAAACTTGTTGTTCCTAGAATGGTACCAATGATAGTTCCAACATAACTTGCTTTTAAGTCTAAAAGGCTATAATTCTACTACATATATTATTTCTTCTGCTCTTTATCAGTAATTTCTCTGGCCTTAAAGGAAAATTACGCCATATAAAAACTTACTATTTTAAGTGGAATAAGGCATGTATATAAAAAATTGGAAGAGCCAAGAATCGCTCCAACTAAGATTGCCACGATTATATTGACAGTGTCATCTTAATCAATCCAATTATCTAAGTAGAATCCAAATAAAATATATACTATCTGCAAGCAGCTCAAAAACACCAAAGTCAAATACCTAAGACATTTGTATTAATAAATTGATTATACATTTTATTTTTTAGAAATCCATCTGAAAGAAATGAAACTGATAAAATACTGACTATTTAACCGAATGAATAATAAGTCTAAATTGGATAATAGTCTCATAATATCTTACAGTTTGATATAACTAGAAATAGTAGTAATCTTTTTGAACAGCTAACTATCTCCAAATAGCATATTAATGCAGTCCTTTCATTATAAAGGAAAGTATGAAAAGATTCACTCTAAATTATGACAAGTAAACAAATAGATATTTCCAAAAATTATATCTTACACTTAATACTAATATGCATCTATTAGTGATACTCGATGCTTTTACTGAAAACTTTTGATCTGAGCTGTAATATCGCTACTTTGAAATTTGGAGGTAGATGTTTCATCGAGGAAAAAACCAGTCAAACGCTAATTAGGCTCTACTATTACTCCAATGTGGCAAGGATTGTGATAAAAGTAAATTTTGCATATAATAGCCATGATTATGTAACACCCTCCTAATGCATAACACTCGATAGCCTATCCGAAGAGTAAGTTTGATTAAGAAGCTTACATAGTTTGATTAGGTGTTTTAAAAGAAATTGGCATGTATAATTGGAGTGATAACATAAGAAGCACTCCATACCCCCACTATGAATCCTCTGTAAGACTAAGGAAACCAATTATACAGAATGACTAGACATGCGATCAAGATCTATTTTAAAATTATCATTACTCCTTGCTTCAAATTAAATACTTACTCCACTTTCGAAAACTCTGACACTAGACATTTGAAATATAACATTCTAAGAGTCTGAAAACGAATACTACTCGGGGGAATCTAGATCTCCGTCAGAGTCAGAGTCAGTACTGCCATTTACAGGAGTTACATTATCCAAAGTGTTAATAGGTACATCAGTAGATTTAAGGTACTAACTATAACTATTTTAGTAGTAAGAGTCAACAGCGGTTATGTTATGCAGTTAGGAAAATTAGTAGTTAAATTGATTTACATCTAAAGTTCCATGCTAAAAAGTGTGAAAGCTGATTAAATTACAGTTAGTGTAAATATTCCCAGAATGAGAAGCAAAATAAAAGTCAGTTTCTTAGGCACAGCGACATTATCATACATATTCCCAATGATAAAATATCCAATGCCTTTAGCTAGATTGCTTGCCATAGTCAAAGGACTATCAGGCTCCTCTCTAAGTATATCCTAAATAAAGTAATCTCTGAAACTGCTCATGAAGTTGATCAAAGCTGCAATTGTGAAGATGATAATCTACCAGCAGATTTTCCTTCTTCAAATTTATCGCTTATTAGTTATTTTCTCCTCAGCTAGGTAATGCACGTAGTCCTTGTGCTAAACTTACTGGTCTGCTCCTATTGACAGGCTGAATTCACTTCCTCGATCTGATTTGCTATCATCTGAGTAGCGAGATTTCATAGACTTATCTCTAGTCATCTGTCTATGGTAAACATTGCTAGAGAGGTTGTTATTAAATGCAGTCGACATTTTTATAAAATTATTGATTTATCCGAGATATAATTCTAAATTACCACGTTAAATTATTCACTCAATCTTTCCTTTTTCCCTCTTGAGGGGTTTTGGGGTTTTGGGGTTTTGGGG